AAAGAGTACTTTACAGGCACAAAGGTCTCTTATAATTATAAATAAATTTGGTACAACGTCATCCTTTTAATCTCTATTATAAATATTTATAAAAAAAAAAGTGAAAATAATAGCCCCTGAAATAGTAACACCTCTTAATATCTAAGGTTTTATGTATCATATGTAAATTATACAATAGAAAAGTTTAATATTATGTATCGTATTTCGCTAAGGGACATATACATATAAAGTAGTAATTATATAAACAAGTTATAAAACAACGCAGCTCCTCAAGGGTGATTACTAGTAATTATTTATTGCATTCTTCCAAACATTAAATTTGTTCATCCTCAAAACCGTATCTTTGGGTCGCTCTCCGGTTTCGCTTCAATCGTTTAGTCTGGTGGCTAGATTGCATATCTGATTGCGTTACAATGTTCTACTCCGGATCAAGTAAGGTCTCTTTGTCTGTAACTAGAGATTTGTTGAGTTGCGAAGTATAATCATTAGCGTTCTCATTATTCGAACGGCGAGGTTTACTATCTCTTATTGGCGCTATATCTCTTATAGATACTGTTGATTCTCTTCCGCATAGAAATTTGATGTGCGTATATTGGGATAGATTTTCCGTTTGATGATCTCCACGGAAAATTGAAGAATTTCTCATGTAGCGTTACATTTCTTGAAATGCACAATATTTGAATGATGTATAATAACAATGCTTAATATTTATATTGGGTATAACGCATCTTGTAGCACTATTTCCTAGTTTTCAACTCGTAGATTTCTTGATTTGAGAGCTAGTATCTCTGCTTTTCTAAATTATTACGTTATTGCGCTGCCCGTTTCCTCTAGGATTATAAGGCGTTATTCTGCTTGTTGCAACACCTCGAGTATGCAGGAAATTACGAAGTTCCTTTGATATTAGAGAGCTGCTTCTTTCAGAATAAACATAAGCAGAGGTGCCAAATAAGGAGAACAAGTTCTTGAAACACTTTAACGTTGAAGTAGAGGAAATAACAGGATATAGAAAAGCAAATGAAAATCGCGAGTATTCGTCAATAATTGCAAAGATATAAAGATTTTTAGTTGATGTTCGAAGTGGGCCATTAAAATCTACATCAAGTCGTTTAAAAAGTTGGATTGCTTTTATAAGGCGAGCATTAGGGGATTTGTAAAATCAAGATTTAAGTTCACAGCAGGTGATGCACTGGTTTACAACACTTTTGATTTCTTTTATGGAGTATGGCAAATTCAGACTGCAGACAAAATAGTTCATTCTTGTTATGCCGTGATGACACAGAGCATTATGGTGCTCTGGTAACTTTAATTTGTTGTTAAATGTATAGGAACATATATAGGAATTTGTGTTTTTGTTTTTTGCTAATTTTTAATTTAGTAGGGCGGAGTATGATGAACGCGTTAAACAATCACCTGCCTGGTTATATTTACCTGGTCAATACTGTAAGTCGTAGCTGTAGCAACCGAGTTCAGTACACAATCACATAATTTTGATATTTTTAATTTTGCATCAATGGTTCTGGATAACTACCTGAAAATGATACTAGAGGATGTATGGTGATGCAGTCACGGTTCTCTCTTATTACTTTACAGCATGTTTCCCTTTTGCAGCAAAAATAAGAACAGCAGGAGTACCATCAACACCAAAAATGATGAACTGTGGTTTTTAATTGTTGATTACATATTCTCCCTATATCAATTTTTCCAGACCAAACTTCTGTCTTCTTTTGTTCTGCTTCATTCAAACTTCTGTCTCCTTTTGTTCTGCTTCATTCTTCTGCAAGAGTGTCTATAGAAAACCATAAAAGAAAAAACGGTAACTCAGTTTTGCTTGAACTAATTTTAATGAATGAAAAGTACATGAACAATACATAAACAAATAATGAAGTGCAGCTGTGTAATTGTAAAATGTTAAATGAAGCGTGTATATATTTTAAAATGTAATCAAAAACACAATATTTACTCATACCATAGGTGGGAACATGATATTTTTTCTTGAGCAATTTAGAGCTCTATTTATTGATACATTGTTGCTTGAGTGTTAAGATTGAACTACTTTCTTTAAAGAGCACCCAGAGCGGTTTACCTAATCTGCGTTTGAAAAAAAAATATTAAAAAATAAAACAAAAAAATTTTTCTAACAAAGCTACAACTCGTGTGGCTACAGGCAATCTTTTTATATCTTAGCATAATGTCTTTAAAAAAGTCATAATGTATTTAAAAAATGTCATAATGTATTTAAAAAAGTTTATAAGAAACAAAAACACTTGTTTTTTGTCAGAGCATTTTTGGATTAGTTGATAATGCTGCAGATTTTCTCCCACCTGTCAACCTTTTATTTGTGTATTGTCTAACTTTCAGAACATTAACGACAATTTTTGTTAGTTTTGCTATGTTTATGCTTTGCATTACCCGATTTTTATACTTAATGTTAAGCAATTGACATCTCTTCTTTCCAGGAGAATTGCACGGAACTGTCTTTCAAGACCATTGACTATTTTCCCAGATATGAAACAATAAACCATAAACTTCAGTCTACGGTTTATTGTTTTACAATCTTTATTATGTGGGAACTGTCTTGTTTTTGTTGAAGTATGTCCTCTCACATAATTTTCTTTACCCCATTGAACAGTTTTAATAAAAATACCAAAATACTTCTGAACCCCTGAGAAAAAATTTTACCATATAAAAGTATATATATAAAAAAAAAAGTTAAACTATTTGTTTTGTGCAAAATATATGACAAAAGAAAAAATCATGTGAATTTTGGGGCTCTTCTACCTGTATATAGAATGTGGAAATGAAAGTAACTTAAAATTTTTTTCTGTAACTTAGCGCGTTTTGCAGATGGGTTCCTCAATTATATTATATTAAATTAAATCATATAACAATCTTGATAGGCGTATTACATTTTAAATATATTTTAGAGCGCAAGTAGTCCATAGCTAGATTTTTGACGTTTTTCACTTTAAACAATCTAATCATTTATCTTACAGACCAGATATTGACGTCAAAATCTTGATTTTTTTTATCTCATAGCTTCGTACAAAAGTATTTCTCTAAATATCAATATATTATTTTTTTACCATACAAAAAAATAAAATTATTGATAACGTGAGAATTAAAATTATTGTTAAAAGAATTTTTCATCTAAATATATTAACTGTCTAACTAAATTTCATCTAAATATATATCTCGGATATTTTTTGACAAAAAGTATTTGTCAGAAAATATTTTGTATTTGAAATACTCTTAATAGTAATATCAACTGATTCATTTCAATAAAAAGCTCACTCTAACATATAGTATGTTATCTTTAATACAGTACTATGTTCTAGGGATGTAACGGAGATGTATCAGAGGTATAACAAAGTTTCAAATTTACTTTATTGAAATCGAATTATTATAAAACAAAACGCATATAGAAAATAACATGATACAGTGCTTAGACTACTACTTTGATAGGTTGGATTTGTTTCGATTTATTTTCTTAAGTTCTGTTAATTCAAATTGGAAGTTATTAGGAAGATAAAATGTGAAAACGCAGCGTATTCTATTGAACTTGAGAGTTTTGATTCAAGACAACTTTGTTTTTGTATTAAAAACTTAAACTAAATTATTTATTCAAATTTGCTTATAAACTGTAATTTGAAAGTCTTAGTTTAAACGGCTCCGATAAACCTCCGTTGCACATCAAATGCATCTCCGTTACATCTCTACTATGTTCCCAGCATACTCTAAAATCAATTTACTCTTTTTCTTTTTATATATTTCAATTTACTTTTTTTTTTTTAATCAATTTACTTTTTTTTTTTAAATTATTTTTACTAATATTTACTATTTTAAATCATTTTACTATTTTTTCTTAAATCAATTTACTCCTTATTCTTCTTTTCATTTAGTAATACTATCATCTATTTCCATCTCAGCTATTGTTGCATTGTTTAAAGTCAAAAAGGAAGTTAATTTTAATATCTTATACACAGTTTATAATATACATCCAAAAAAGTTACGACATTTTCTCCAATTTCTAAGTTGATCAATCGTCCTCCTTTTGGAACTACTGTCCTCCTTTTTTAGGTCCTGTCCTACCTTGATTCGTGTCCTCCCACTTGTCCTCTTTTTTCATCTACTTTTGGTACTTAGAGTAGACTTAAAAAACTGCAAATCAAATCACAATGAAACTAAATTGTATTCAATACTAGTAAGGTATTATAATGTTACCAAGCATTCAAGTAAATATTTTGAATTTTAAAGGTAAAACTGCTGACATTTTGTCACAACATCTATACAAGGTTATAAATGTAAACAGTTTGAAATATTAAGTTGTTACACTAACAGCTGATAATAAAAATGCAAATTTTGGTGGGTGAAGATCTGCGAAATAGGAAATTTTATCTATATAAGTGCAAAAACATTGGCTCCGGCTTCGGCAAAATCTTAGCTTCGGTACATCCCTAATTCGCTCCCTAGCGGATTATAAAATGTGATGCAATGCAAACATTAAATGTGATACAATGCAAAAAGTCATTATTGCAAATACGAAGCGCTAATTGTTCTTTAAGTGACCTAAAGAACGTATTTTAAACAGCTTGCGCAGACAAAATCATTATTTTGATTGAGTTTGCAAACAATATAATGATAAATCAATACAAATATGGATAAAGCAGCCGATCTGATTAAACCTCAAGAGGACGATAATCATTTAGTTTGCGGAGAGCATTCACTGTTGTTCTACACCTGTTGTTCCAATCGAAAATCACTTTAACAACCCATGAGAAGATGATGAGTGATTGACTTTATATTAATAATATAAAGTCAATCACACATCATATATCTATAATATTATTATAGATATAGAAAGAATATTTTGATTAGTATGTTTATTTGATGAGATATAAACTGTTCTATAATATACTTTGCTAAGACTACTACTGGTGTTTACGCATATTTTTAATGTTGCTTTCGGGAAGAAAGGGGATACAATAACTGATATCATATATAAGAGGGGGGGGGGAGGGGTCGACAAAAATTGACAGTGACGATCCTGTCTCATACCTACATACGTGGTAGTAGCTCATACCTACATACATGGTAGTAGCTGTTAGAAAGTTCTTGAAGAAAGCTAAATTGCTAAAAGATCTCTCACTTTCAGCCACAGATACTGACAAAGTAAGAAAGATACGAAGACAGGTGCATAACTGGGAAGAATTTCCTTCAAATCCCTTTGCATAAATGCTACTCAGAAAATCTAAGGGCCTATTATTTGTCAGTTAATGGCGTCAAACAGAAGAAAAATAGCATAACTCATCAATAAACATGTCTTCACTAAGATCATTTAGATACAGAAGTATGAGATTTTTAACTTTAGATTCTTGACTTTTCGTTTTGTCAGAATTGATGTCAGGTGTAGACCAGATGAAGGAAAATAATCTGCATTGCTGTTTCAGAGCTTAAAATCTTTCTGTAATCTGATGGATGAAGGTAACAAAGTAAACAATTTTTATTTCTTTATTTGTTATTTTTTTAAATATTTGTTTAGTCTTAATTACAAACCTGACCCCCTGAAAAAGTTGTTTTCTAGTTACAAACATTTTAATACATTATTATTTTATAATAATTTTTGTTATTTATATTTAATTTTTTTATATTGAATTAGTAAAGTTGAATTAGTAAAACACCCTCACCTTCCCACTTCATACACTTACACATGCACACGTGTTATAATAGTAGCTATGATTTAAGAGCTAAAGTGAAAACATTTAGATAATAAAAAGAAATTTAAATTAATATGATTACACAGTTTTAATCTAGTAACCATATTCTAAGGGGTAAACAGATTCTATCTGTTGACCAGCCTCGCACCCCTTCTTCATCTATTAAGCTGGCGCAGATGTATTTTTAATACGTTGTTTCCAGTTTAGGATGTTGAATGCTGGATCTTCTTGACTCGATGCATGGGTTTTGCTTGTGTCTCTGTTTTTATGACTAGGCAACTCGTTCTATTATTTCCTAATGAGGGTACAGCTCTAAAACTCAGTTTTATGGTTCTGAGGCCAGCTGGTAGTCAGGTTTCCCAAACTCTGTGGTAGCTCTCATAGAGGCTGATTCCATCAACAGCTGTAAAATATCAAAGTACTAACAGTGCCATGTTGCGCATGAATGGTGTCCCTGTTTGTACTTTTGGTGTACATTGCTAAGGCCACATTGGAGCCCTTTGTTACGGCTTAGGCTTTATAAATAGTATTGAGGCAATGCTTGGGCTATTAAACAGTGTACTGAGGACTATCTATGTTTCGAGTCAATTTCTTTAACAAATTTAAAATTAAATAAAGTAACAAAAACTATAAAACACACAAAAAAACACTGTCATCACCAAGTTCACTAAACCTATCATTCACTAATCTTTGTTGTCTTCAAAGTAACTTTTCTTCTGCTGAGTCTTATCTCTTGCAAAGTTCACCAGACCTACTTGCTCTTTGTGAGACTAATTTGAGTTCAGCTGTCTCATCTTGTGATCTTAGTGTTGATGGTTATCTTCCTTTAATTCGTTAAGACTCCGATAGTCACATGCTTGGCCGTTCGTAAGAATTCACCCATTTGTCGGGAAACTAGGTTTGAATCCACAGACTACTCTTTTTTGTGCTTTTGTTTAGCACCACTTCATTCTATCACCTTTCTTTTTGTTCTATATCACTCTCCTTCATCTTTAGACTGCACTTTTCATGATGTTATTTCTGATCATATTGACCAGGCCCTCTCTCTTTATCCATCAGCCAATATTGTTGATGTTAGCGACTTTAATGTTCATCACACAATGGCTTGGCTCTAGTGTTGGTGACTCTGCAGGTATTAAAGCCCGTAACTGGCCTTTCTCAATCCCTTACTCAAATAGTCAACTTTCCAACTCGCTTTCCAGACAACCTGAAAGACAAAGCTGAATTGTTTGTTAACAATTTTTCATCAATATCATCTCTTGATTCCACTAGTTGAATTCTACCTGATATAGCCATCAAACAGGCTGATCCTTTGCTTGACATTCGTATCACTCCAGCTTCTGTATCTAAAGAGATTTCCTGCTTAGACTTCCCTACAGCTTGTGGTCTGGACAACATAACTGTTATAGTCTTGCAGAAGTGTCCTCCGGAGCTGTCGTCTATCCTATCAAATCTATTCAAAAGTGCTTATCAGAGTCTTGTTTTCCAGCCTGCTTGAAAGCAGCATCTGTTATCCCTATTTTTAAAAATTTTGGGGAGTAATCTGATTTGTTTAACTACCGTCCCATTAGTCTTCTTCCTATCATAAGCAAGGTTTTTGAATCTTTAGTTAACAAACACTTAATCTCTCATCTTGAATCTAATAACTTACTTTCGGTTCATCAATATGGATTTCGATCTTCTCATTCTACGGCTGAGTTGCTTAAAGTAATAACAATAGGTTTTGGTAACATTTTAAGATTATTGAATCCTTCCTTTCCAATTGTAGTATAAAAGTTGTCCTTGATGGACAGCACTTTTCTTCTTATTCTGTAACCTCAGGAGTTCCTCAAGGTTCAATCTTTGGCCCTATACTCTTTTTAATTTACATTAACAATCTTTCAGATATTCTCACATCTAAGGTGGTATTGTTCACTGATGATACTACCATTTATTCTTGTCATGTTAACAAGCCAACTCTCTCTGATTGCTTGGAGAGGGCATTTGAGCTTGAAAAGGATCTCACTTCTGCTACAGCATGGGGCTCACAATGGCTGGTGAACTTTAATTCAGATAAAACTCATTGTAAATATAGTTGGACCTGCTCTTGCATTCAATCTTCAACCATTATCACATCGCCGTAATGTTGCTTCTCTTTCTCTTTTCTACAAATACTATAATAGGCACTGCTCTAAAGAGCTAGCGTCTCTTGTGCCATCTACTAAAATTCATTCTTGTGTTACTCATCATTCAATTAAGTCTCATCCTTTTTCTGTTACTGTTCCTAAGTGCTCCAAAAACTCTTATTCCTCTAGTTTTTTCCCTCAAACATCAGTTTTCAGAATTCGCTTCCTTCATCTTGCTTTCCTGATTCATAAAATTTGCAATCTTTTAAGTTGTCAGTCAATCGTTATCTTGCTCTACAATCTTCATCTTTTCTCTTCCAGTAACTTCCAACACTAATTAGTGGGTGCTCGCAGCCTTGTTGGAAGCCAAGATGTTTAAAAAAAAATAAAAAATAAAAAAAAATTCTAAATAAATAGCAAAATAGGTAAATAGTAAAATAGAAAGAATTTTTATCATTTTTGTAGTATTTTTATAGTACTTTTTTTCCTTCTGCTTTAATGAATTATATAAATGCATGTATACAGACATATGCACACCCACACCTTCCGCCACCACCACCCTCCACACACACAAATTAATTTAACATAAATATACAAATATATATATATATATATATATATATATATATATATATATATATATATATATATATATATATATATATATATATATATATATATATATATATATATATACATACCCATGCAACGTTGTCAGAAAGTTTTTCCATATAGTAACACTCCTTTGCAAGTCAGGTTATTTGTCAGTCGATGTAGCAGCACTCCATTGCGAGTCAGGCTATTTGTCAGTCGATGTAGTAACACTCTGTTGCGAGTCAGGCTATAAGATAGTTGATGTAGCAACACTCGCGCATGATTTACAGTAAAAGATAAATAAAAATAAAAACATTTTATTTGAAAAATGCAAATAAAAACATTGTTTATATTTTTAAAAACATTCGGAATGTTTTTTAAACCATTCTGGTCTATTAAATTTTCATTCTTGTGGTTTTTTAAAAAAGTTATTAAATTAATGGTTTTTACTTTATGACAACACAGAAATGTTGAATGAAAGTCAAAAGTAATTAAAAGTAACGTGTTTTGTTGTCAAAAGAATCATTTTATACCTTCCGTACTCTCAAAGCCAACAATTTATATATATATATATATATATATATATATATATATATATATATATATATATATATATATATATATATATATATATATATATATATATATATATATATATAGGGTCTATTTTAGACCCTTTTTGACAGCGTCAACCATATTTCAACCATAATTAAAATTTGAAGACCTTTTTTTAAATTTTTTTCACATTTTTCTATGTTTTTTTTCGCATTTTTACGCTAAATATCGTTTTTTTCGCGACAACAACGCGGATTTTTTGCTAAAGTCTGCTGAAACGAAGGGGAACTATCGCCCAAATTTTTTTTTTTAAGAACAGACCCTGATATATATATATATATATATATATATATATATATATATATATATATATATATATATATATATGTATATATATTTTTTATAGAAAGCAAATGAAGTCAAAAGTATTGCAGAAAAGAGTTACAAAGATAACTATGGAAAATTAGATCAAAAGATAGCTCCATTTCGTAAAGAACTAGTTGCCAAAGATGCTGAACTGAAAGATAAGGCTGATAAATCAGAAAAGCTTTCAGGTAAGTTTTAGTGAGTTTCAGGTGAGTTTTAGTGAGCTTGTTTTGTGAATAAGATTAGTAGAGCCCAACCACATCTTGCTTTCAACTACTTTATCAAGATTTGTTCTTTGTCATTAAAGAGTAGTGGTTAAATAATCAAAAAATAAAACATGCTTTTTAGACTGTGTTTTTCCTCACTTTCTTTGTTTAGACAAATAATAATTAGGATTAACTATTTAATACTCTGCAATTGCACAATATTTAAAATTTTTTCAATAATCAATTACATATTTATTTGATAATTATGTCATTATATTTATTTTTATACTATATTTGTTATTATATTTAAATTTACATAAGTAGTATGAATTGTTATTGTATTTACAGCTTAAGTATCAAATCTTGTAGTCTAACATATAAATTAAAATAGATTTTCTTCAAGGTAGTTGCACTTCATTATTTTAAACTCATGGAGCAGTCTATGAATGGAACTTGATTTCTATAAAAATATTTTTATTATATTAGATTTAATATGTATATTTTTATTTGGTTAACTTTAGGTTTAAGTTTTTGTACTATAGAGTGAGTTTGCAGAAAAAACAAAACATTGAAGTATATATATATACTTTTTAATTTCATGTTGCTATGTTGTTTTTGCTACCATTTTACAATTCTACCAAAATTTTAATTTTTTCTGAAGGTTTTTAAAAGGTTTTCTTTAAAAGTCTGAAAGTTAGACAATGTTCTTGAGGTTTAGAGAGATCTCTTTAAAAATCAAAGAGCACAGTACAACATTTTATAATAATTTGTTGCGGCTTGATTTGATGATTTGCTGCAGCTTGGGTTTATGGGAGAGAATAATAGAGAAAGCATAAAATTACCTAAGAAGACATTTTCATGGTTTATACTAATACTATTTTATGCAATTTATGATCTGTTTGGAAACAGATTGGATATATGAATTTTTTATTTATAGAATAGCAAGAAAGGTTCATTCAAAAACAAACTAAAAAAATAATAATCTTTACCAAACAGTACAGCGTGCTGAACATATTTTGGGTAGGGGTAGCTATTTTTTTGAACATTTATGTTCCCAGGCTCTAAAGAGCTGAACAAAGTTAAAGTAAAAAAGAATTTCAGTCTTTTTTACTACAACTTTGTTTTTAGTCTTTTTTTTTCAACCTTTTGTGTTAGCAAGAAGCTACAGTAAAAGTCACATATTAGTCTGTGGATCTGTTATGGATCGATTAATTGAATCTGCTGACAAAAATTTGTTTTGTACTACCACTAATGGTCCACTAAGTAACCAATGAGCAAAACTTTAATAAACCGCTAAAAAATGCTTATATAGGTCCACTGCAAATCCAATAAAACAATGTTTGCTGGGGATAATCTAGCATCAGAACAGTAAGTGGTTTGCAAATAAAGTTAAATTTTGTGTTGTTAGAAAGCACTTTTGTTGCAAAATTTCTTAGATGTAAATGTGAGGAGTTCGAAAGAAAAAGATGAATTTGAAGTAAAACAAAGATAGCATCAAATTACAGTTTTATTTTTTTTTAAGTAATACTACAGATAGTTTCACTTAAAATATTCATATTGAGCATGTATATTTATATATCATTCTGCTACTGTTTTTAGAAAGGGTCCTAGGCAATGCTAAAAAGTAAAAAAAAATCTAATTGCAACCCTGTCTTTTAATGACAGATATAAACCTGTTTTACATTGTTTCTTTCCTAAGATGAATAATCAATTGTTTCTTTTGAAAGATAAACCATGGATCTTTTAAATACTACTAATGGTTTTTTGCTTTTTTACTAGTAAAAATTCTTTCTGTTATCTTCTAATGTGGGTACAGATTTAAAAATCAGTTCATTGAAACTCTTTACAAAAAAAATAGTTGTAATTTTGAAAAAAGGCAAAAAGAATGTTGCTAGTATATTAAATTTAAACACCATTGTCACTATCTTGAAACCAAAATTGCTTCTTATTAATTTCAAATCTCTCCGTGGTTTTTTTTCTTATTATTTTTTTCTGGTTATTATTAATTTCAAATCTCTCCATGGTTTTTTTCTTGAGCAGCTGCTATTTTTACTTGTAATCACATCTTTCACCTTTTTTTACTAAAGCAATTCTGAGAACAAATTTTAACATTGAAATTTTTTTAAAAAGGTTGCTAAGGCCCATTATTTTCAAATTATTGTGTATTTTCTCTAGAAAATTGTTACTTATTGAATGCCAACACTCTTGTTGAGTAAATACTTGTGAGAGATTTTTCTGATTATTTCTCACTATTGACAAAAAAATCATATATATGTATCTTTGTTTGACTTTTTATGGAATACTGTTGTCATATTTAAGCTGGTTCTTCTAGTGGGGTTTTTTGCTCCAATAGGCAAACTAGAGCTTCTGTAGAATCAACTTTATCAGTGTTTTATTTTACATGTTTACGTGTTTTCCTGATTCAAATTATTTACAGCTTTATAAATCTTCTGTTTACTGTTTTTTTGATCTTTAATAAACTTTTTATTTCTTCATTTCAACTAAAATGTTGCAATAGTTCTAACTAAATTTCTTGAAATAAAAAACAAACAAACAAAAAAAATAAAATAAAAAGATCAGATCAAATAGCTCAATTTATATAAAAACAAATTTTGAATAATGCCTAAAAATATTGTAAAAATTTTCAAGGCTCAGATAACAATTAAATGAACATTCAAAGAAGTCAAAAAAAAGTTTTCTATTTTTAGTCATAGGATTTTTTTGCAACAAAAAACAAGGAACAAAATCTTTAATTTTTTTCTTGATGTTTTTTTCTGTTTATCTTTTTTTGGTTAAATTTTTAAAAATTTTTACCTTTTCTAAAAATTCTAGTTTACCTCTTGCTTTCCAAGTGGGTTCTCTACCACTAAATAATGGGTTCTCTACCACTAAATACCACCAAAATATACAAAGTAGTTAAAATCCAAAAAACAAAGTACAAAATAAGGATCAACATAAAAATAAAAATTAACAAGTATAAAATTAAAATATAAACAAACAAAAAAATCTTTTTAGAAAAAGTTTAAGAAAAAGTCATCATAATTCTGTATATTTTTTATAAAATTGCATGGGTTACAAAATATGTTTTATTGTACCGTGTTTAGTTTACTTGATTTTACTAGATGCTTGTAAAATTTTATAATCACCAATCACTAGGTGATAGGTTTTATAAAGTATTATCCTAGTAGATAAGAAAAAAAGATCAAAAAAAATATTCCTAAATACTTAAAACTAATTATTTAAATATTAAAAAAAAAATTGGTTTAAAATTTCAGTAAAGTTTTGTAAATATTAAGTTTTTTGTAAATCTATTATATATTCTTATAAATATTATTGTTATTATTATGTTCTATTATTATAATCATCATATTCTGTTTTATTAGCTGCTATAAAAAAACTTTATAGTTCTTTAATCATACTAGTAAAAGATTTTTAAAATTGTAGTAAGTTAAGTGTTAATATTTATTTATATAAATTTATAGTGTTATTATTTTTATTTATTAGCTGCTATTGAAAAGGTTGGTGGTGCTTCAGTCACATTAGTAAAAGGTATTGTAAATGGAAATTGGCAAGATTTGATTACCGGTGCACTGGGTATTATTGGTGGTTTGGCTGCTTTAGCAGGTCCAGTAGGAGCTCTTATTTCTTCTATATTGAGTGTCATTTCAATGTTATTTGGATTGTTTGGAGGATCTCAAGGTATGGTTCTTTACTAATAGGTGCAAATTTTTGTTATTTTTTTTTTAATGAAAATTGTTTTGTTATTAAAAAATGCTTTAAAAGTTGGTCGATAAATTAAATGTAACAAAGTTTGTTGCTGTATCTTAAATAACTTCTTGGGTTACTATTGCAAGTGTTATTATGTCTATTTGTCTGCATATTATTTTTATTAATTTTTTTTTAAGGATTTTTTGTTTGCAAGTATTTTTTTTTTAATACTTCAATTTTTCTTTCTCACTTTTTTTAAAATTATCTTGTAGTTTTGCTTAAAAAATTTCTTTATTTTAGAATACAAGCAATTTATTTAAATGTTTCATCAATATTTTAAAAATTATCTTGGTATTATTATCTGTTATTGTTTTTGTTATTATGTGTTTTTTAAGGTTTATATTTTATTATTTTATTATTTTTTAAAAACATTTTATGACCATTTTTTTGGTATATTCTTGTTGGGCATTGATTTGTATATTGCTGTTAGGCATTTAAATTTCTGCGTGTGTGGCTATGTCTCATTTCTGCAAGGGGTTTAGTGCTTGCATGCAAATAAATTTTCCTTTTGTTTTGAGCACTTATTTAAGCATGTGCACTAGTGCATTTCCATTTCAATGCGTGATTTTTAATTTTTCTTGGTTTTTACAATTAGAAGCTGGGACTTATAGCAATATGCAAGCTATTATGATTTTCTTAAGAAACAACTCTAACAAAAATATTTAGTTTGTATTTTAGGCTACCTGAATATTTAAATATATATAATTAATCATTTTATTTTTTGTGTGTGTTAATGTTGCAATATATATATATATATATATATATATATATATATATATATATATATATATATATATATATATATGTATAATATTGTGTTGAAGAAATTTAATATATGTTTATAAATTTAAAATGTTTGTAAGCAATTTTGATGTTTATAGAAGCAGAAGAAAGTCAGGAAGCAATGCTTAAACGAGTAATTGATGAAGCTTTAACAAAAGCTCGTGCTGAAGAACTAAAAGCTGACGGTGAAGGGTTGAAGAAATTAATCATGTCTATTCGCAATTCATTGAACCAGTTTCGTGAGTCAGAAAAAATAACTGCAGATCAAGCAAATGAATTGTATACTCAAGTTTTCACGGTTAGTCATAAAATGTTATGCTATAGAAAAAATATTTCGCCTTAATTTTAAATTACTCTTTTTTAGTACTTTAATTTAAATTTTTTACAAAGCTTTATTATTATTGTATAATATTTTTCATTAAAATAATCCAAAAAACTAGTGGATCATTGAATTTCCACTACTTACATAAATTGACATGGTTATTTATATGAATATACATATATACTAATTAATATAGATGGTATATGTATAAACGCATTTGGTTATTTACATAAATATACATCGTTATATGTTGCTAATATTATATTATAATTATTTGTTTATCATATTTATTTAAAGTTCTTAAAATTATTTTGAATTGTTTTCAAAGATAATAAAAGTTATTCTCCGTCCTTCTGTGATTTTTTCTTTGTTTCTCTACATTATTACCACATATTTATTATGCTAAAACAACTATGGATTATTATTAACCTTTGGTGATCAGGGATGGGGTGTTATTTGGTTTTCAATAAAAAATTTTAGTTTCTAGATATTAGTGTATCATTTTTTTGTTAAAAAACTTTCCTGTTTCTATGGTTTCTGTTGACTAATAAATATCTTCAATGGGTTTATTGATTTAATAAAAAGTCAAAATTAGAAATTGAAATTTCAGTTGAAATATAAGGTGTTGAATTGTTGCGTCCATGAATTTAATAAACAAAAAATATAATTTTTTATAGCTTTCTTATAACCTCGCTATCTCTACACAAAAATCTTCTCTATATATTTACAAAGTAAAATAGTCCCATTTTAATTACAATTGAAAATCATCTGCAAGCATATATAAACCACTACAGGACCTACTTGATGATTACAATGCATGGAACAGTATTCAGATGATCATCTCTGACACAACAGCTGTAAATACTGGTCGCAAGAATGGAGTTGTAGCCAAGCTTCAGAAAACATTTCGAGACAAGGGATTCGATGAACCTCAATACATCGGCTGCCAACACCACATTCTTGATCTTGTTCTACGACATGTGTTGGATTTCTTTTTTCCTATACAGTCACAGTCGCCTAACATTAACTACAAATTTATTGATGAGATTATGGAGCATTACGATGATTTAAGAAATGCCTACAAGGGCACAGCAGTGGTAGCAGAGTATGAGAACCTTGGCTGGAGAGATGACTTGAAATTTCTTTTTCAATTTTGTGAAGCATACAAATTTTACAAAAATGAGGAAAAATGGCCTCGTATCAAATGGCACAAGTTGCCATCACTGCACAGTGCCAGGTGGAACTCAAGAGGCATTTTTGCGCTTATTGCATTTTTCATTCTTCCAAACTGGAGAGAACAGCTGAGGATAACTTGCGATTTCGTTGCAACTACATGGTCGCGGGCCTGGTTTTCAAACCAGCACTATGCAGAAGCAGCCTATGAAGACCTGCTGTCAGCAATATCCCTACTTAAGTGTTCCAAAGCTGTGAAATGCTTCTCTACCCACTGGAAGAAGGAACCATCAGTGCTTGATGTGCCTCGAACGAACATAGTAGCCGAGAGAGTTGTAAAGTTGATGGGGGACATTCGTTCTTCTTGCAGAACAAACAAATATCTTAACTGTAAATTTAATAATACTAATACACAAATCAGAAAGATTATTAACATCACTACAAATGCTGTAGGACAGTGTATTTCTCATGTATTTCTCATGTGTATTGTATATAAAGTTGACATATTATAATTAATAGCCTTTGGGCTGCTATGTGTTGTATGGTTAAATATGAAACTGTCTTAGGTGCGGGAAGTTTTTTCAAGGTATGGTGAAATCAATGTCATTTCTGTGATTTATAGGCAAAAGTTCATCATTTAGAACCCCAGGCTAATTGATTTAAAATTTATCATATACCTACTCAACACGCATCTACGTTATTTCTAACATGTACAATTCACCAATATAAAAATAGAACAAGCCCTCTTGGTGAATTGACTCATAAGTCTAATCTTTGTTGGGGCCATACTGGTTACAATTTGCTATTACTGCTGAAACCTCCTAACATGATACATACTGGTTATTTTACAAGCAAAGTTGTAATGTTCGAGCGACACCAAAATTACCAGTTAAATAAATTTTCTGTCTTTTCGTTCAAGTAATCCAGCTGCACACACTGTTCTGCACCATTTTGAGGGATTCGTAAGAGTCGATCAATTTTATTTCAGATAGAATCAATTGTACTACGATCTGGATATCTTTTGCCATTTCCTTAATAGTATTCAATTGTCTTAGTACTAACAATTGCAAAATTCCCAGAGTTTTTATGAGATATTCTTTTTTCAAAACTGCATTTAACCATCCTAAGGTGCTCTTACTATCGCTGTATACTGTTAACTCTTTTATGTCCCACTTACTAGCTAAGTTTAGTCCTCAAAGTATCGAATCCAGTTCCATATTGATATGGTGTGTGTCACTCGCTGGCTGTAGCCATGATACATTTTCAACAACTACTCCACCACTGACCAGAACTATCCGAAGTCCTATGGATGATGCATCACAATAAAGCTCCGCTTTTACATTAACTGGTACCAGCCATTTTCCACCAACCGGATCCTCTTTTTCCACATAGTGAAGCAATTCTTTCAGTTTTTCTTTACAATCTTCAGAAATAAAATCACACCAAGGTATATTTCCAGCTAAATGTTTGATGTATGAAGCTTGTAAATGCAAACTTCCTGCCACTGGGTAATGTCCAATGAGTTTACCTAACTGGCTGAAAAACTTTGATTGTGTGACTGCATTTACAGGTTCAAATTGTACCACTATCTCGTTTCAATATCAGCTCCCCATTTTTATTTCTTTCGACTCTCAATCCTAAGACAAGTTTTTGTTCAAGATCTTGTGGAGGTTTACATTGTAATCGGAATTTATGCAGATGCTTTGATACATTTATTGCAGTTTCCACACTTTCATCCAAATATATATTCAATGTAGTTATCACATGCTTTCTTTACGGTTGGGTTTAAATTGAGAACATGCCGAAGAATTGTGGTCATTCTGGTAAAACAATACTGTTTCCCATTTTTAATCACCATTTGATATGGTCAAAGTTTTTTATCAATGTGAATTTGGAGGTAGGCTTTTTTAAGATCAAGAGTTTTTGCATTTCTTATTTTTCTCCAATGACGCAGTTTTTCTTGACAAACATTTGCATTTGCTGTGTGACAAGTTACAAATTTGTTGAGAGCTTGGAAATCTTCCACCGGATGTACCTTTTTATCTTTGTTTTCTTGTCATATTAATAACACCAAATTTTAAATCATTTATTTTGTTTTCATTTTTTCTTGTCGTAGTAACAGCACCACATTTGGCTGTGTCACTTGCTAACATTCAAACAGTGTGGTTTTTATTACCATAAATGATGAGTCCTCCAAATTTTTCAATCGCATTTATTCCAAAAATCAAATCAAACCCGAATAGATTTTCCTTTACAATCAGAGAATTAACCATCCGGTGCATTCCATCAATTTCCAATTTGAATACCATTTTACCCAGCACTTGCGCAGTTCCTTCCAAAGTTGTGATAAGTTTTTTGACTTTTTAAAACAAGACCATGCGTGGATTCAGTATGAACCACAGAGTATCCAAAATCAATTAATGCTGTTTGGAGCATTCCATTTATTTTCACTTCTAATGATAGCAATGCCATCTCTGGGAGAATACTGAATGCCATTATTTCCAAGTTCTCCCTTTTCCTTTTAAACTTTGCTATCGTTTGAAGCAGTCTTCAGCTTGATGATCGTGTGAACAAGTCTTGCATTTTGCTTCGCAGTCCTGTGCAAAATGTCCAAGTTTTCCACATTTAAAATATGTAACTTTGTTTGTGTCAGACACACCAGATGTCCACGGAAGTAATGATGTTGCTGCAATTATTAAATTATCGGAACTATCTAATTGTCAAGCTTCCTGGGTTACTCGTTCAAGGGTAACAGGAATTTCCACAGCCTTTGCAAACGTTAGCTCTTCAGATTCCAGTAATAACCATTTGATTGTAACACCATTGGTAAAACCCATGATGAATTGGTCGTGCATTCAATCTTCTCTATCTGTGAATTTGCATCCTTCAGCATCCTCGATATGTAATAAAGTGTTTCTGTCTTTTTTCACTTCTCAGTCTTGTTAAGTCTCTTTGTTTCTTAGACTTGTTTTGCTGTTTTCCTAGAGTTGTGTTATGGCACTTAATTAACTTTTAATTAAATTTACTTGTAGTAACCAAGACATCTAAATAGTATTTTCAACTTGTAACCAATCATGGTACTTTTTTTAAAACAATTTTTTTTCATTTGGGTTTTTTCAAAAACCTTGAATCTAATGTGGGCATTGCAGGCCTTGTTACGAGATTTTGCTGCGTAACGGAAAAGCGAAACGTGAATAAATGTAACTTTATTCAATAAAGATATTTACATTGTTAAAAGTTAATTTACGTCAGTTGCGTTTTTACTTCGTTGTAATTAAATTTAAAATGACATTAAAAACTATTGTTAGTCTTTGAAACGAAATAGCTGTAAATTGAACGATGTTGTTATAAAAAAAAAAAATTTCAATGTTGATTAAAAAAAAGTCTTTTTGTATTAAAATCTTATACTTATTTAAACTTAATTTTTTTTGCTTTTAAACATTCATTTTATGGTTGTTTTTATTTTTTTATTTTTTTTTTAAATAATTTAAATTTAACACTTGTTTATGGTTGATTTTCTTAAAGGGATTTAAATGTACTTATAACTAAACGCATAGATTGGGTTTTCCCCTTTTAAAAAAAACGTTTGTACTAACTGGTTTTGATAAAATAAATGTTGTAAAGAAACGAAATTTACTGCTTTTTCGGCTTTGTTTTTTTTTATTTCCATTAAACTATTTTATTTTTATGTATAGTGAAACCAATATTTTTTTTCTCAATCCAAAAAAAAAAATAGTGTTTTCGGTTTTCAGATGTTATAATTTGTTTTTAACAAATATCATTATAATTTTGAAATCTTATATTTATAGCTCAAGAACTAGTTTTGTTTTTAAAATAAAATAAAGATAAGTTGGGCTTTTAAAGAGTTTATTTACTGATCGCGTTATTTTTAATAGGTTTGAATTTTGATTTGTTCAAGGACGTATTATTAATACGTCCTTGGTTATAAAAAAAAATTCTTCGGCAATTGGCCAAGGGAAAACCTAAACATAACATTTATAACTTAAAAGTATTGACGTCATTTATTAACTTGTAGTTATAAAATGAATAATGCGCTTCAGTAAATAATGAATGAAACTGTAAAATAATGGAAAAATAAAAACTGGAAAATAATGCGCTTTTGTTAGGCGCATCTTTCAGACCGGTATTCGAAACTTACCTGAAACTTAACTAAAATTAAAATAAAGTTATATGTAATACGAACATTTTAAAGTAACTTGAATTAAATTTATTAAATCTTTTTTTACTTTGGTAATTTTATCATAAAAAAAACGAAGCATTTTAAAATTAAAAAAATTTAAAATGCTCTGTTTTAAAATTAAATGAAAGAATTTTAATTAAATTTAATAAATTTATTTACTAAAAACTATAATTATTAAAAAAATATTTAAATTTAATAAAATAAATTGAAAATATTTCTTTTTTTAAATTTGATTGTTTATAAACTTATGAAATCTAATATTTAAAATTAAATATGATGAAAAGTTAACTTAAAACACTTTATTTTCTTTAAGTAATTTTTAAAAACAAAAAAAAATTATTAAACAAATTGTTTCTTTAACAAAAATCTATTAGTTTACAATTGCGGTTAAATGCTTTTACTTACGACTTTAATACTTCTGAATGAACATCACATAAACAATATAAAAAGATAATTTAAATATTCTAAAAGATAAAAGTTTTTGCGTAACGCATAACTGCTGAACGCGTATCAAATCGCCTTTTCGCAGGCAAAATGCGAGCTGCGTAACGCTTCTTAACAAGGCCTGGCATTGTCATCATTAGTTTCCCCCTAGATGCCTTCTTTATAAGGCAATAAAACTCCCATAGTTTTGGGTTTAAAAAAAAAAAAAAATTCTATGGTTTCAAGTTTGCCTATATTTCCATAGAATCACATGCAAAAATCTTTGCTTTTATGGAAAATATTTTTTTATTCACCAATTTTATTGGCATGGTAAAAATTAGTGTCTGGGCATCCTCGATATATAATAAAGTTTTTCTAACTTTTTTCACTTATTAGTCTTGTTAAGTCTCTTTGTTTCTTAGACTTGTTTTGCTGTTTCCTATAGTTGTGTTATGGCACTTAATTAACATATCAAATTTTTTACTTGTAGTAACCAAGACAACTAAATATTATTTTTAATTTGTAACCAATCATGGTACTTTTTTTAAAACAATTTTTTTCATTTGGGTTTTTATGTTTAATTAAACTTAGGAAGTTTACAAGAGTTAGAATAAATAAAAAAACAATAAAAAAAAGTTAAGTTCTTTATTTTAAAGTTAGAATAAGTAAACAGTTGTAGGCTTTGTACTGCATTATTTATCACTTTAAGTTTCTGAAGTTCAATGAAATTAGTATTTATTAATTTAAGTGAGCAACCATTTTTTTCATATAATTACATCAAATATCCGAAATGAAAGAAATCAATTAATGCTTCCCGGTAATACTATTATCAGTCAAAACATTATAAAGCATCTGACCGATATTTTTTGGACAGGTCTGGCATCAATCCACTATTCTAGAAAAGTAATATATTGGTATAAGAAAAATAGAGTCAATGCTGTTTCAAAGAATGTGGATTCTCTGAACTGTTCTAAACAGCGTGTTATCAAATCTTACTGGCCAATAGTGAAAGAAATACTGAGGAAAAGAGACAGGCTGTGTAAATAGAGATGAAAGCTAAAAAAAAGTGGCACAAAATCAAATTGTCATTTTGATAAAGAGAGGGGGGGGGGAATGCTTTACAAAAAAATAAATTACTTACATAAAATTGAAAGTTTTTGTACAAAAAAATTAAATTACTTAAATAAAAACTAAATATGTATGCACCATTTAAAAAACAATATTAAAATTAAATAAGTAGTTTTTGAGGAAATAAAATTTAAAATCATAAAATCTCAACCAATTATTATACTTCTGTTTTTAAAATGAAAAAAACTTATGTGCTTTTGTATAATAAGTTATTCAATCTAAAAATATTTACAGTTTATATTTATATAAATACATATTTTGCTTTTAGTTTTTAGTTTGTGTTAATTCTCAAACTTTATTTTCTTAAATGTTTGGTTTAATTGCTTTTAAAAGTTAAAAATCTTTAATTTTTTTTTTTTAGGGTTTGACATTTTTTGGGAAACTAAAATATGAAATAAATAAATATTGTGACTGCTCAATTAAAGATAACAATAAAATAAAAGAGGCAAAGGAGAAGTCCAGTAGATGTTTAGAATTCATCAATTTATACTCGGATCTTTCTATATATCGTATGTTGCTTATTACTGATATGACAAGTCTTTTCAGTTCAGTTGAGCTTAATGACACATCAAATAATCTTTTATTGCTACTTGAGAAAGAACAGATTTCAGATAAAGATGTTATTATGTTTTTATTTGACCCTATTCATAACCAGTATGTTTTTTTTTTTTTTCCATTTTTTAGTTTTAGTTTATATTGTTATCATTTTTATCAACTTTTATTTTTTTTTTATTTAGTTTTATTTTAATAATTTAACTTCAATTTTTAACTTTTTAACTTGTTTATATTTGTATTAATGTTACATAATATTATGTAATATATATATATATATATATATATATATATATATATATATATATATATATATATATATATATATATATATATATATATATATATATATATATACATATATATGTAGAATACACTAACATAATTTATATATATATATATATATATATATATATATATATATATGTATATATATGTATATATATATATATATATATATATATATATATATATATATATATATATATATATGTATATATATATATATATATATATCTATATATCTATATATATATATATATATATATCTATATATCTATATATATATATATATATATATATATATATATATATATATATATATATGTATATATATATATATATATATGTATATATATGTATATATATATATATATATATATATATATATATATATATATATATATATATATGTATATATATATATATATATATATATATCTATATATATATCTATATATATATATATATATCTATATATCTATATATATATATATATATATATATATATATATATATATATATATATATATATATATATATATATATATATATATATATATATATATATATATTAGGGTGGGTCATAAAATTTTTTTTTAGAGATTAAAATTTTTCAAAATTATGTGATGTAGGTACTCAAATAAAGCGAAATATTATAAAAATTTTAAAAATAATAATTTTTTCATATAAAAATAATTATTTTAGATTTTATTGCATAATAACTATAGTTTTTCAACTAAAAGTAAAAAAGGCGCATTTGTACATGTTTTTTAATAACAATTTTTTTCGGCAATATTTTTTATAAAACGATTATTATTTTCGATTTTTTTTTAAATTTCGCTTCTTTTGAGTACCAGGTTGACCTACTTTTGAAAAACTTTTTTTTTCTAAAATATTAGGGTACCGGTAATTTTCCCAATAAAGTTGCGCCCTTTAAATCTATCACAATCATTCTCATATTTGATAGTATCAATATTAATAACTATTAGCAATGTTTAGAGCCTGTAACAAGAAAAAAAAATTTTATGACCCACCCTAATATATATATATATATATATATATATATATATATATTATATATATATATATATATATATATATATATATATATATATATATATATATATATATATATATATATATATTGCGTAATATTATGTAAATAGATAAATTAGTAGAAAAGTTTAGCATAAGAATTAGTTTTTTACTAATTTATTATGTTCTTCTAAGAAAGTTAGTTCAAAATACATGTTTTATATATATATATATATATATATATATATATATATATATATATATATATATATATATATATATATATATATATATATATATATATATATATTATTTTTATCTATTATTTTTTACTAGAGTTTTCTCTTTGAATTTTTTGTTTGTTTTGGGTTATTATGAACTTTTGTTTCAACTTAATCATTCATAATCTTTTATAGAAAATTGAATTGTAACATTTTTTTTTAGTCGTCAACGACTTTGTATTTCCCAATACTTTGGTGCACCAAATAAATATCCTACCATTCAAGCTTACTCTGATCTCTTAAAAACAGTTCCTAAAGGAAAGGTTGTTCCTAGTGATGTTGTTATTTGTTCAAGTGAAGAATTACGTGGATTATGCCACAAATTAGATGCTAAAATGTTTAAAGCTAATGATTTAGGGAAATGGTCTGAAAGTATAAAGTCTTTGTTTATTTCAGGTAATTTTTAAATTTCATATTAGCTTTACTTAATAGCTCTAAACTAACTAGTTTGTAGGGCTGATAGGGAAATAAATAAGATTAAGCTCATATTAGGGCTGATAGGGAAATAAATAGTAATAAGATTTTTTTTTTAAAAACCTTTTTTACTCTAGTTATATTATATTCCCTTAATAAAAATACTAATAATGTATAATAATAATAATAATAATAATAATAATAATAATAATAATAATAATAATAATACGACTAATAGAATGACTTAACTTAATTTAGAAAAGGTTTATTAAAAGTGAACAAGCTAATATTTTTTTAACATTCATGCTTGTTTTTTCTATTGGTATGATATCTATGATTTATTATGATATTCGTTTAATTCTATATCTTTAAATAAAAAATTGACAATGTATTACATCTTACAAACTGTTAAAGATATTGGTAGTAGCCAAATATTATGGAACAATTCACTAAAGACAAAAAAAAAAAAAAAAATTCAACGGAATAGTGAAACACTGTATCAGCAAGCAGCAAGATAGGCTCTTGAAATATCTTAATTGAAAAAGATGCACCAATGACACATGAAGCAAACAGAAAGGAAATTGAAAAAGTAATTAATGTAAAAATAAATGTAAAGATTAAAAATTGGTATTTTATCAAATTATTTAACTGTGTTAATTAAAACACAGTTTAACACTTAATAACTTAACATTGTCATTGAACTAGTAAAAAGAGAATTTCAAAATAAGATATTAAATTCAGCATTCATTCAAAAGAAATAAAACTTTCAACAAATTTACAAATATTTACAATATTTATTATGAATGTTTACAATTATTATTACCATTATTTACAATGTTTATTATGAATATTTATAATATTAATTGTAAATATTTACAATATTTATTAAGAATATTTATATGACCAAAATTGAAAGTAATAAAGCATTTCAAAATACATGAAAATGCAAATTAAAAGTTTTTGAAAACCTGAAAAAGAAACAAGATTTTATGAAATTCATGGAGAACTCATTGTTAAACTTAATTAAAATTTATATCTCAAGATATAAATTTTAATTAATTTTAATCTCAAGATAAACCAAAGTTAATTAATTAAAGTTTATATCTCAAGATAAACCAAAGTTAATTAATTAAAATTTATATCTCAAGATAAACCAAAGTTTAAGTTAATAACTATAATCAATATTAGTTCTACAACAAATGATAAAAAACCTAATAAAATAAAATTATTGATTCAAAACCAATATAATCAAATCAACTAAAAACAAAACAAACCAAAATAAATTTATCTAGTAACATTAACTTAATGCAAGGTCAATTACTTGCATCTCAAAATATCTTGAAATCATACTGATTACAAAATATCAAAATATCTTGAAATCATACATAACAGAAACTTGGCTGAATAATAAAATTACATGTTCTTTGTTGTTAAATAACGATACTTTCAAAGTATTTTGACCGGATAACAACTAAACTGGCAGCGGTTCACTCATTAGTGGGCTATAGATTCTAATCATTGCAACTCTTGAAATTCTAGCGTTTTTGTCTCTTATGACCTAAAACTACAAATTTTATGAACTTATCTCCAACCATGTGCAGCTAGTAGTACTTTAAAAATAAAAGCTTTTTACAAGGTTGTTTATAAAATTACCATATTTAAAAATTACCTCCATTATAATTATTTTACCTCAACTTGCAATTATATAAAACTAGAATTCTTTTTTTTAAGTGAATGAAAAGGAAAGGTATTACTTTTTAAATGTTTTAAAAGTTTCACCTCTCCAAGGCCCGGGCACTAATAAAGAAAATTAATTATTTGCCTTTAATACTCTTTAAATATTGATAGAATCTATTAATTTAAATCAAAATATTGGCATAATTGTTCCCTCCAATATAAAATGTTCTAATCATTTTTCTTATATTGCTGAAAAAACTATTTCTTGTGTTATTATATTAATTTTAAAATATCTTTATCAGTAATGGTTCTCAACTTTTGATAAGTGCTGAAAAGTATTGTACAGAACAGTTTTAATAGTATTTTACAAGAATTGTTTATAAAAGAAGTCATATTACTCTCAGGTACTTAATACATGGGGATGGGGGGGGGGGGGCATTTATCATTTTTCAGTAAATTTTTGCACCCGTCTTGAGCTTATTTCATCCTTCCCTTATATTAGGTTCTACTTGTTATTAAAAAAGAAAATTTATCTCAAAACAAAAAAAAAAATTTAGTTGTAAACTGGCTTTAAAAATTAAAAAATGAACTCACTAATAAAAATAAAAACCTTTGTAGATTATTTTTAGGAAAATTTTTTTATAAAACTGAAACTTTGCTTAGTAAATCTCTAGGTATGTAGTAATCTATAGGTATGTAGGTAAGGTATGTAGATCATATCAAAAATTGCCTTATGATTCACAACAAGAGAACCCTTTTTTTATGGGGTTTAAAATAAATATCATTTAAAATTTTTAAATGATTATTCAATTTTTTATTGATAAAATGTTGTGGTTTTTAAATATGTATTTTACATATCATATATTTATCGTAATTTACATATCACATATATATCATATGCAATATAGTTGTGTTAATTTAGAGTACTCTCTGGAAAAGTGTTGAATAATTACAATCAGTATAAAAAGTTTATAAAATGGTTTGTTTTCCAATATAAAAAATATCTGCAATAGATCAGTGCTTCCAACACTTTCATGGGTTCGAATCCACTGCTAAACAAAAGAAAATTTTTTTTAGTTTTTTCATTTTTGCCATTTTTTAAAATATAAAACAAAACAATTTAAGCAAAAAATTTTTGTACTATAATTATAATATGTTATATTATAAATATTATTATTTATTATTTCAATTTATTTGCATTTAAATAAAAATACAAAAAGGTGATACAGGTAATTGGAGAATTACTCTTATGTAACACCAAGTTTAAAACAGTAAACAGTGCCTCTGAATATTGTATGTTTTTAAATTCGATTTAAATAGAGACAATGAAGAGGAATACACCAAATAATTAGGTAACTCATTCACAGAAAAAAATCTCCTTATATCATTGATGTAGTTGTTACGTGATGTTAATTTTTGGGAATGATATTGAGTTGAATGGAGCAAGAGTAAAAAAACTCACAAAAAGACAAATCAACGAAGTTGTGCGTAATCTTATAAGTCATTAAAAGATCAAATTTTATTCTCCGGCATTCAAGAGAGTCAAGGTTGAAGATATCAAGTCTTGAAGCATAATCTTTATATGAAATACAACATGTATTGTGTAATAATACATATCACCTAATATTTATAATATAACTTATTATTGGTATTTTTTATACTATATTTGTAATATAATATATTATAAATATTGTAACAAAAAATACCAATTAAAAAAGTATTTTTTGTATAATATATCATGTGTAATATATGTAAATAAATTTATATAATATAAATATAATATATTTACATATATTAAACATGATCATGATCAACTTATGCTAAAGATTGTATGTAACGCTTTACTAATGGAATCTTTACATTTGGATAATTTTAAAAGACATTTAACTATTTACTTATTTGTATATAAATTTCTTAAACTTTTCTATAAAAAAATTGTTTAAAAACTTTTTCTTAACATTAACTTGGCTTAAATGCTCAAAGTTCCATGTCAAAATGCACAAGTGGGTACCATTAAATTCAGTAATAATATATACAAGATTATATATATTATATATAAGATTATCTCAATAATCAATATTATATATAAGATTATCTCAGATAGTATTTTTTGTATATTATCTCAGATAATATGCTTTTAATATATAATAATAGATAGTAATAATCTTAGATGTTCTGGAATGGCAACATCAGGTTTTGAAGCTTATTCTTGCAACCAGTTTAAATTAGGGTAACAGTTTATAATTAGAAAAAATGTAAAGCAAAGGTTTGACCATAAAACATAGAAACAAGGTTGGGATTTTTTTACTGACCTTAAACACTTCTAGGTTAGCAGTTAGGTTGGCATTGTCGAATGCCGACCCTAATTCTGAGAGTTGATAGTGTGTATATATATATATATATATATATATATATATATATATATATATATATCCTTATAGTGTTGTCCAAAAAGACTTTTATGGTAAAAAAAAGTCTCTTTTGACTACAATTTTTATTACCTCGTCTCTTAAGCTGTATTTGATTGTCATCCAAATGTCAAAGCAATTAAATTAATGCGGAAGTACATAAAATTTTATTGTTTTTTAAAAAAAACGCAATAATAATGGCTAGAAAGTTTTTTTTAATTAGTGGTGTTTTTGTTTTGTTTTATTAAAAAACATTTTTAAAACATGCGTAAGTGTTGCTACATCAATTATTTTATAGCTTGCTGCTACAAGGGAGTGTTGCTACATCGACTATCTTATAGCCTGACTCGCAACGGAGTGCTGCTACATCGACTTTTTTCGAAGTTTTTCAACATTTTCTGGTCATGCTTATTAACGCACTCTTTAAAACAACAGTTTATGGGAAAAACTTTGTGACTACCATGCAAGACTATATATATAAATAAATATATATATATGGATATATATATATATATATACATATATATATTTATATATATACACATACATATGTATATATATATATGTGTATATATATATGTATATATATTTATATATATATATATATATATATATATATATATATATATATATATATATATATATATATATATATATATATATATATATATACACACACACACTATCACAACCCTCAGAATTAGGGTCGGCATATATATATATAAATATATATATATATATATATATATATATATATATATATATATATGTATATACATATGTGTATATATATATGTGTATATATATGTATATATATATATATGTATATATATATATGTATATATATATATATATATATATATGTATATGTATATATATATATATATATATATATATATATATATATATATATATATATATATATATATATATATATATATATGTATATATATATATTTATATATGTATATATATATATATATATATATATATTTAAACAATTATAAAAATGTAGTGCTATACTACAAAATTGCTCAATGTTCTTAAAAGAACAGAGCAATTATAAATTAGTTCAACTAATTTATTTATATATATATATATTTAACGAATTTATATATATATAAATATATATATATCAGGCTTTCCCAGGAAAGGCGTGCGGTCGCACGCCTTGTTTGTCCACGTGTAGAATAAGTTTTTCAGAAAACGTGACCGCAGCAATATTTCGTGTGAAAGCGGAAATTATTCACAGAGAATAAAAAATAATATTAAAAAAAGGAAACGAAGTCTAAACAAAGTATAAAGTTGAAATTGGATGTAAGAAAAATATTTTGATAATAAAAAAAAAAATTAAAAAAAAATAAATTCTTGTAACAAAAAAAAAAAAAAGTCTTGACATTTTTTTCAAACTTTTTATACTGTTTTTATTTGCTTTTTTAAGGGTTGCTATTTTCAGCTACGAAATTTGATACAAGTCAAGGGAAAGACGACGATAAGTCGTAAAGTTTTCACGAAAATAAAAAGACTTGATACGTAATTTACTCACGAACTTTATCAGACAATGTATTAAAAAACTGATTCATTATTTACGCTAGACAAATTTGGTTAAACTTTTTCATTTATTTTTACAAAAGTTTATGTAAAAGCGTTGACTGTATTCCCCAATACTTTGACAAGAAAATAAGTTGTTGTTTTAATTATTAAATATATTATTTCAGATTTTAAACATAACAAAATTTTAATGTAAAAAAGTTCTTTCTCGACTTATTCTAAACTGATTATACTGAGTCAATGCTCGCTTTTTATTACGTTGAAATTATTCAATTGCATAATTTTGTAATTACGAAAGAAGTTAAAAAAATAATTGCTTTGCTTCTGTTGTCATTGTTACGAAAACAGTTCCTTCGGGACATTATTATATATTAACACTCGTTCACAATGTCAATTAATGATTGCAAAATAAACAACTCAATCGTTTGACAATAAAATTTTCTTTCGTTTAAAAAAAAACAACAACATATTACTAATAAATAGCAATCGTTTTCGTGTTTTCTTGCGTATCAATACATTCAAACATTTAAATCAATACACTTAAACATTTAAATGTATTTACGAAACATTTAAAAATTGTTTATAGTTATATCGTGAATTTTAAAGTATTACTGACTGATAAAAGTCATAAACAAATTTATATTAAAAGGTCCTTTTATTTTCTTTAAACCTTAATCTTTTTCTCTTTGATTTGATTTTTTTTATTGATTTGATTTTTCATAGCTAAAATAACTACTACTCTAAAAAAATAAATAAATAAAATGTAGGTAAATTTTTTTTTAATAATATACATTAATTTTTTAATTTTAAAGCACAAACAGATTTTTGTTATTTACTTTAAGTTTGTTTGCATTTTTGCGGTATTTTTGTTTAGCTTTGTTTTGGCGCGAATTCTTGAAACGCATAATAATAAAACGTGGTCAGTTAGTCAGAAAAATTTATTCTATGCGTGGACAAACAAGGCGTGCGACCGCACGCCTTTCCTGGGAAAGCCTGATATATATATATATATATATATATATATATATATATATATATATATATATATATATATATATCAAACCCTCAGTCGATGTAGCAGCACTCCACTGCGAATCAGGCTATTTTTCAGTCGATGTATGTAATGAAGCCCCCAGCAGCATATATATATATATATATATATATTTATATGTATATATATATATATATATATATATATATATATATATATATATATATATATATATTTGTATGTATTAGGTTGGGTCCAAAATTCCATATTTTTTGTTTAACCAATTATTCTTAATTTTTTTTCAAAATTTTAATAAACAATTCAGTTTTTTCTATTTCAATTCAATTTTTAGCATTTTAAATTTCAATTAAAAATATTTAAAAACTTTGATATCTTTACAGCATATTCTTTGCATGTAAAGTTACGCAACTTTATTTTTAAATTTATACAATTTAATTTTTGATTGGAATTAAAATAAATAAAATTTCTGTTTAAACAAAAATAAGTCTTATGTTATGTAAAAATTTGTTTTGATTTATTTTGCTAGAAAATAATTTGCTATTAATTTGGTAAACTGAATTTAGATTCCAATAAAATGAAAAATATTGCAACAAGAAGTAACAAAATAATAAATAAATCATAAACTAGGAAACAAATAAATCAAGGTTATTAAACTTCTTTAGAATTACTCAAGGCTGTTTTTTTATTTGTCTTTATTAAAGTCAAAAATAAATTATATTTTGGAAATTTTTATTAAATAAGATTGACTCCTCAGTAGTCATAGAAGCAATTTGTATATACGTATAGGAATGATTGTATCATTCTTGCAAATAGTTTAGCAAAATTTAGCTATATTTCTTGAACAGAAAGTAAGTATTATGGGTTTGGAAAAAAGATACAATAACGAAAAATTGATGTATTATGTTTTTAATCAGGTTTTTTCAATTTATGAAACAATTACAAATAACGTTGAACTTAAGTGTAGTGTGGCACTTATTGCAATCGGCTTTGGAAATACCATTGATTACAAAAAATTCCTTGCGGTAATATACTTAAATATCAATACCATTGTGAAATCAAGATTTAGGTAAAAATATTTTGGGAAATGTATCTGATTGTTAAAAAATTTTAAAATATAAAATGCAGTTGGAACCAGTGACAGAAACAAATGAGACAGAGCAGGTTAGCAATAAAGGAACTGTAAGCTTTACTTTAGGCGTCCAAGAGATATTTTATAACAACTTGTTTGAAATTACAAAGCAGCCCATTTACTTGAGAATCAGGTGTTAATAAATATTGAAAAACAGAAAGATATGTAAATGTCAAAAAATAATTGATAAATGGGATGTTTCTTTTAGTAATAATAAAAAAATAGTAAGTCATTGCAGCAAAGATCCATTTTATTTAAAATCATAATGATTGAAAAAATGAAAAAACGTTGTCTTATTTCTACAGAAGAACAAACTAATAATTTAAAGCTTCTATTTAATTTAGAAAGTCCTCACAATGTATGTATGTATGTATGTATGTATGTATGTATGTATGTATGTATGTATGTATGTATGTATGTATGTATGTATGTATGTATGTATGTATGTATGTATGTATGTATGTATGTATATTAGGATTTTAACTGAAATTTATTATTTTTAATTAAAGATAAACTTCAAGTAACTGGATACAGTGGTGACAATGAAGGTAATTTTTTTTTAAATAAACAAAAATTTTGACTTTTTTAAAATTTTGATTTATTTTAATCTTTTATTGTTTTGTTTTTTTATTTATAATTAATAACTTAAAATCTTTAAAATAACTTTGTATAAAAGTAATCCAAATATTTTTCAAAATAAGTGTAACCTGTAACTAACAAATTTAAAAAACTAAACTTTAATTTTTATACTAATGGTTACTTCTTTGGAACAGTAGCGGTAAAGTCGTAACCATTTTTCTGGAATAGTGATGATGACACTTGCTTAACTTGTTTATTTAAGTTTATTGTTAAGTAAAAAAAATAATATTTAAAAAAATATTTTTTAAATTATCCCCTTAGCAACATGTTCTTTGGTTATTTAGAAAAATTATAACAATATTCAAAAATAATATAAAGAAATAAAAACATTAGGGTTTTAATAAGTGAAAACTGCCCTTTAAATTTTGTGCTTTTTTACCACAAACCTATTTGGTTAGAAAAACATCAACTAAATTGAAAATGCATTTTAGGTTTTTGACAAAAATGCTTAATAGCATAATTGTTTTTAAAAATTTATGATATGTTAGATATGTTCATAGGATAGTTTATAAAAAAATTTTAATGTTTTTTTCTGTTAGAAAAAAACAATTAAATGTTTTTTTAAAATTTTAAAGTTTTTTTAATATCCGCCTTAGCAACATGTTCTATGGTTATTTAGGAAAAATTATAAACAGTAATATTCAAAAATAATAATATAAAGAAGTAAAAACATTAGGGTTTTGATAAGTGTAAACTACCCTTTAAGTTATATGCTTTTTTACCACAAACCTATTTGGTTAGAAAACATCAACTACAATGCAAATGCATTTTAGGTTTTTTGACAAAAATGCTTAATAGCATATTTGTTTCAAAAAATTTATGATAAGTTAGATAGCTCCAAATGAAGTCTTAAAAATTTTGCTATGAGATTTGGTACTAAAACAGTCAAATTTACATGAGAAAGTTCAACTCATACTATCAATTATCATAATTTAAGTTATCTATCACACTATTCAGTTACCTATTATACTATAAGGAAATCAAAGAAAAAAGAGGTTTAAAAGAATATAATAAAAAGGATTTACTGATCAAGAGGATGCCACAAGGGCGGAGAAAGCTGTTTAAGGAATCATTTTTTTTTTTTATATTTTATTTTGGTTATTTTCTCTATTTGTTTTTCATTTTTCATATTAAAAACACTCACATTTTAAAATTATTTATAAATTTATAATTATTTTTTATTTATAAATAATTTATCTTTATTTATATATGAAATTTCCAAAATTTGTTTATTTTAAGTTAGTATGTAAAGTTAAACCTAATTAATCCATTATATATTTAAGGAATTATTGGATGATATATTATGAATTTTTTTAAATTGTTTAAGCGTGTGCACTTGATTGAATTTAATATAGTAAATATGCTAAATTTAATAAAAATCCAATGATGGCTCAAACTTTTTTCATATTTATAGTTGTTTTATTTATAATACCTTAATTTCTAAATTTTGATAAACAATAAAATTTTGATTAACAGTATTTTAGGTGAGAGTCCTATTAATCAAAACTATTTTTCATATTTATTTAATTATCCTCATTTTTTTTTAAATTAATCAGGTGTACAATATGGTCCATTTTATGGACCTACAGTGATTGGAGTATTACCTGGAGCGTGGAAATCAATTACTGTAGCACCTACAGACAAACATGCTCAAAACATGGTTCGTGTATGTATGGAATACAACCTTGACCAGGTAGTTTTGAGCAGAAAAAAATAGTTCCTAATATGATATTTATATAATTCTTATTTTACTTTTGGTTACTTTGCTGAAAAAAAATTAAAATGATAATAAAATATAATTTTTTGTAAATTAATTTCAACTTAAGTGATTATGATATGTTACTTTTTTATAATCAATTTGAGTTATTTTTTATAATAAAGTTATTATATTAAATTAAAATATTACTATATTAAATTAAAATATTGTTATATTATGGATTTTATTTATTAAATTTTTACAGCTTTTTTTTATTTCAATTGATTATACTTATTCATATAGTGTTGAAATTTAGGTTAGCAGGTGTGACCAGCTTGATGTTATTGACTATCCCGATTTAAAAAAGATTCATGCTTTTGGTAATATATTACATGTTTTTTTTTTAGAGTTTAATAAATTAATTTTCAGATAAAAAATAATTACTCATAGATGTGTTAAAAATATAATATTATCAAATAAAATACAATAAAATAAAATGAAAATGAAAATTTTTGAATTTTAGAACAAAAAGTGGTAATTTTTAAAAATAGTTTTATATATAAAATACTATATTCTTATACTTCTTAAATATGTGCAAATTAATTATAAATATATTAATAATATAGTAATATATTATCAAATAAATTACTTGTTGTCTTAAAAATTAAGTTTAAAAACTATATTGAAAATTATATTTTTTTCATAATTAGATGGAGACGTTCGTGCTTATGAATTTATTTCAAAAAGAGACTATGAAGATGAAAAAGTTAGTTCAAATGAAGTGAAATGTGTATTTCCATTTAATATGACATTCCAAGATAAAAATAAAGTTACAATTGAGAAGGAGTACAAACATTGCACAGATGACGGAGATGAGTTTAAAAGATATTGGTGTGCTACACAAGTATCGCAGGATCGTAAAGTATTAAAGAAAGGATATTGCATCCCAAGTAGGTTTTTTTAAAGTTTTTTTTATATAAAATTGCAAATAAGCTCATAAAGTTACATAGTTATATCAATAAGTTAATATTATTGCAAGATTATTTAGTATTAGTGTGTTTTTTTTTTTTTTCACATAAAATTAAATAGTGATTCCATGAAATTTGTTGTGTAAAATTACAAAAAAACTGTTAAAATTAAATTTTAATCAAACCTAATTAAACCAACTGATTTCATAATAAATTATGTGTTTTCTGGTGAATTTGATTTCTAAATTTGGGGAATATTTAAGAACTTGTTTGTAACTAAAATTATTTGTAATTAAAAAAGGTATTTTTCTATCTAAAATTTAAAATTTAAAAGTATAGTTATAAAATGTGTTAAATATCAATAAGGCAATATCATGACATTTTTTTATAGATGGTGATATACTGACAACTAAAGGATATGGTAAATGCAAATTTCCATTTATTCAAGATAAGCGTGTGTACACTTATTGTACATATGGTGGTTACAGTTATAAATGGTGCAGAACAGAGGATTCATGGCAGGAATGTGAATTTGGTAAATTGTAATTTAAATCAAGTATTAAAATTTTTATATTATTTTTAGTTTTTGTTACTTTCAGCAATTTTATTATCTATTATTATATTCTTTATGTTTTCAACCCTCGGAAATAGGAAAATTGAAGTTGGCAATAATTTGCCGACCTCAATCTTTTAGAGGTCATAAAAAATTGGATACAAAGGTCTTACCATGAAACATCGAAACAAGGTCAAGAATTTTTGCTGCCTGCAAACATTTTTAGGTTGGCAGTTAGGTCGGCGTTGCCGAATGCCAACCCTAATTCCGAGGGTTGTGTTTTTGTGTTCTTGTTCACTGTTGTTTATAAATTATGGCATATAATAACATATAAAAAAAGTTTTGTTTTCATTTTCAGACAAAAAAACAAATAAAAACAATGAATATTATATTAATAATGATAATTACAAGAATAAGAATATCTACAATATTATAAATAATAAAACCAAAATATCATTATTAAGAATAAATATAAATAAATGTTTGACAAAGTGACACTAAATTATTATATTAATAATATTAGTTTAAAAAATAATAATAATAACAATAATAACTTTATTCATTAATAGAGCACAAATAACAGTCAAAACTATAATAATAATGTAACTAAGAGTAATAAAAAAAAAATATTATTGACAAAAACAATAAAGTTTCTAAAAAAGTAGTAAGAAGAAAAAAAAAAAAAAGAAAACTAAAAGAAGTTAATAATTATAAAAAAGTAAAATAACTTTTCTTTTAGAATTTGTTTAAATTTGTTTTGTTTTAAATAAAGAATTGAAGATAAATTGTTTTTAAGTTTTAATTTTTCAAACTCATTCACAATGCACACAAGACTTTGATTCCATTCACTGATGTGCTGATGTATAATTGCATATTTACTATACCTCAAAGTTTTATAGGGAGGTACATTTAGTTTTCCATTATTGATGTTTCTAGTTAAATGTGAATGTATAAATTGAGTTTCAGTGAAGAAGGTTGTAATAGAGTTAGGTAAATTTTTATTAAGGGAGTCAAAAACGAAAAGAAGATTAGCAAATCTAACTAGTGCTGATAAAGTAGGAATTTTGAGTTTTTTGAAGAAGTTTGAAGTTCTGTATTATGAAAATTTATTATTTGGATTGATTGACGCTGAGCTGATAACAATTTATTAATATTACAGTTGCCAATTTGTTTCCAAACCTGACAACAGTAGTTGAGATGAGACTGAAAAATTGCAAAATACAGATTCTCAAGGGTAGTTTTATCAACATAATGGCACATTATTGAAAGCATACCATTAGCTGAAATACATTTAAAATGTTATTTCAGTTTTTTCCAAGTTTAGAGAAATTAAGTTTGCATTTAGCCAATGAACTAAACCTTTTAGATCTAAGTTTATATTCTTACACAAGGAATGATGAGACTTATTAATATGCAAGATATTAGTATCATCAGAAAACAAAAGGACTAATGAGAAGTGGATGGAGTTAGATCATTAATATAAATCAAAAACAATAAAGGGCCAAGAACAGAACCCTCGCGAACACCACAAACCATGTGTTTGTTATTTGATTTCTAATCATTAATGCTAACAAACTGCTTCCGATTTGAAAGATAAGATTGATATCAATTAGAAGCAACATCTTGGATTCCGTAATGTTCAAGTTTAGAAATTAAAATTGTATGATTAACAGCATCGAACGTTTTTTGTAAATCGAAAGTAAAAACACTACCAACAAAATGACCAGTATCCAGTGCCTTTTTTTTTTTTTTTTTGGTTAAACTTATTAAAGCGTGGCAAGAAGAGTGTTTTGATTGAAATCCAAACTGAAAATGGAATCATTTAAACAGTTAAAAGAGCTCAAAAATGAGTGTAATCTAGAATACATTAGTTTTTCAAGGAGCTTGCTAATGGTAGATAGAATTGAAAATGGTCTATAGTTAGTACATGAGAGTTTTGAGCCTTTTTTATATACTGGAGGTAGTAAATAGCTTAGAGAGAATATAAGAAAATTCAGAATTAAAATCAGTAAAAATGTTTGTGGGGATGCTGTTGGGACCTATTGATTTTGTTGGTTTTAATTTAGATATAAATGATGAGATTTCAAAAGGGTTTGTTGAAGATGTCAGTAAACTATGAAGATTTGGATGTTTAAGATACGTTTTATAGCTAATGTAAGATGAGTGAATTTTAGAGTTAAGCTTATGAGCTACACTTGTGAAGAAGTTGTTGAATTCTTCGCAGATTTAAGTTGGTTCAGTTATGCATGTTTCTCTAACTTGAAAGCATTTTGGAGATTATTTACATTTTTGACATTTACTAGACGTTATATGCCTTTTCAGGTTTCACAAAGATTTTTTACATTTTCTACAAAGAAATATTTTGAAATGTATTTTTTTACTCAGTTTTATTAGATTAATTATGGTATATTTATAGCGTTTAAAGATAATTTTTAGTTTAATTATATTTGTTAGATCTTTTTTCCTTAAAATTTTCCCTTGAATAAGATTTTGAATTTGAATTGATTTTATTATTCCTTTAGTAATCCATGGCTTGAATTGACACTTGTAGTCATTCCAAACAACTTTTGATAATTCAGATTTAAATAATTCTTTATTATAACTTATTAAGTTCCAGCGGCATAAATTATTATTGCGTGGTCTAAATAATATGTTGAAATTAGGACAAAGAAGAAATTCAGTTAGGTGATCAAAAATAGAAGTTGTTAGATTTCGTGAAATAATTTTATTAGTGGTTACATTTGAAAAGATATTATCAATGATTGTACCAGAATGGTCAGTAATTCTAGTTGGTAGCATAATAAATGGGCGAATATTATAAGAGGTAAGTTTAAAAACTCAGAAGTTACAAAGTCAGAGATTGACTATATCAGAACCATGTTAAAATCACCAAGTAGAAAGACAGATTTATTTTCAGTAGGAATTTTTTGGAAAAGGATAGACTTTGGAAAAGGATAGATTTTATTATTGAAGTCATTCACATCCATGCTAAGGTGTCTATTTATGCAACCAACAATAACATTTGATTTTTTAGGAAAAATTATTTTAACCAATGTAGATTCTAAATAGTTTAGTGAGTATATAATCAAATCATCTCTTCTTTTATAAATCAGTTTTTTTGATAAATATAACAAGGTTCCGCCACAAGAAGATTTGGTTGGTGTGTGCTTAAAATTATAATTTTGAATAATAATTTGATGTGTGAAAGGAGATTCTTTTTTTAACCTTGTTTCTGTAATTCCAATAATGCTAATTTCAAAACTTGTTAATGATAATAATATGGTCAGATCTTCAAAGTGTTTTTGTAAAGTGGATATGTTAATATGGAAAAAGGACACATAGTTTATATGATGTCAAAGTTATGAGAATAAAATTTATTAATGTCATAATATTGACAATCTACATCAAAAGATGAACAGTTTTCCTCATCAGAAACTGAAGCATGATGTAATAAATTTATTAAATTGAGTATAGATTTTATTCAATCTCAATGCTGGAAAGAGTTTAGTTGATAAAGGCAAGTTATTAGTGATAATAATTTTATTTGAAGAAAAGAGTAGTTTAAATTCATTATCAGATACATTAGTCAATGAAAAGACAACTTTAGTACAATTTACACACATTTTTGAGCATTTTGAATGTGTTATATTGTACCTATGGTCATAAAGCCTGCTACATTTTGAATTAGTCCAAAACAAACAAACATCACATTGAGTTGCACAGCAACTTATACTAACTTTTTTTGCACATGCAGTGCTTACTCCCCGAAAATTAGAGGTCATAGTAAAACTAATGAGAGAGATAAAAGAAGAAAATTTGTCATATTCAGAAGAAAGTTTGAAGTTGTTAAGTTTTAAATGAGAAGAAAAGAAAATAATTATGAAAATAACAATGAAAAATAATAACAATACAATATTACAATTAGTAATTATAATAGCAATAGTTATAATAGTATGAATATCTGCCATAAATTAAGCATTATTAATGAACAAACTAATATAAAATAATAGTTATAATAATAAGTAATAATTATATAATGAAAATATGAAAACACTAAATTAATAACAACAGTAAAAATAATTAGCAGAACAAATATATGTGTGTATATAAACATATATGTGAGTAAATATATATATACATATATATATATATATATATATATATATATGTATGTATGTATGTATATATATATATATGTGTGTATATATATATATTTATATATATATATATATATATATATATATATATATATATATATATATATATATATATATATATATATATATATATATAAAATTCATATATATTTCAGCCCTTGGAATTATGAAAAATTTATTGCCAACTTTAATCTTTTAGAGGTCGGCATCAAAAATTTGGCTTTAGGAATAAGGCATTGCTGAATGCAATTCAGCAATGCTTATTTCCAAGGGCTGATACATATATATATATATATGTATATTATATATATATATATACACATATACATATATATATATATATATATATATATATATATATATATATATATATATATATATATATATATATATATATATATATATATATACACACACACATATACATATATTTATATATATATATATATATATATATATATATATATATATATAATATATATATATACACACACATATACATATATTTATATATATATATATATATACATATACATATATATATATATATTATATATATATATATATATATATATATATATATATATATATATATATATATATATATATATATATATATATATATATATATATATATATATATATATATAATATTATGTTTTAGATCAAAGTTGGGAATTAAAAATAGCATCTCTTGTAATTCCAGACAAAGTTCAAGTAGAGATTTTTTCTGAAGAAGAATTTGAAGGTTTTTTTTTATTTAACATTTTATTCCATTTTAAACAAAGTTTTTAACTTCTTTTACAAAACATTTTTAAATTAAGAGTTAGTTTTGGAAAAAAAGCAAAACTTAATAAAAAGTCTTATAGAAAAGCATTATTAATTATTTAAAAACAAGTAAAAAACAGATAAAATTTGCAGTAGTATGCACTTAGTACAGATCTTTATTAAATGAACAAACTTATAGTAGCAGTATTATTTATCAAGCTAAAAAAAATCAACTGTAAAATTAAAATGTTACAAAGAAATATGAATAATTTTGTATAATTCTAATTTCTATAGTGATAGTTTCTATAGTAATAGGTAATAAACTATTACTCTTGCATAATTACTATTTATATAACTAATAATAATATATGATGGTTATAATAAACAGAATGTCTATTATAACCAGCATTTTGAAGAAACTCAGCAACTATAAATAGTTTATTTTGCCAGACTAATGCGCCAGTGCCTTATATACTGCAATATAAAATAGATGCTTGTTTTATAATGCAGTAAATAATGAAATAGTAAAAAATAATAATAATAAAAGACTGCAACTGCAAGTAGCTAAAAACCAATGACACCCAAAATTTTTAAGCACCAATATTTTCGAAGAAACATCTAAATATCTTATATCTTAAGTATGAAAAGGTTTAACACAATGAAATTCAGCACCCTTTAATTGTATGCTTTAGTTGTATAATTGTATAACAAAATTTTTACATTTTTTGCTCATTGTTGTTATTGAGTTAAAATGAAATACCGATAATCAATCAAAAAAAGTTTTAGATATTGTTCTTTAATTCTATCATTGTCACAAGTTCTAAATTGACTGCTGTTTCTCAATCTCAACTTGAGTTGAATTAAACACTAAAAAAATTCAAGTATAATTAAACTGAGAAATTTGCTTATATGGCAAACAATCTGCTCCTTTGGTTTGAAATGTACACAAAACATAACTTAAGAAAGTTTGAACATGAATTTGTATGTAAAAGAATGCTTAAAGAAACACCTTTTACCCTTTATTAAAAGGCATGGTATGCCCATATCTAGTCTCTAGACTGGTATGAACAAAATGGTGTCAAAATTGTACTTAAAAAAGAAAATCCTCCAAAATGTCCTGAGCAGTGAATTATTGAATTTTATTATTCAAATATAAAAGAAATCCTATTGAAAAGCATGATATTAGCTATAGATAAAAATAATTTTAAGAAAATTGTATGGCTGCCTTAAAAAGATAACTCAAAGCAAGAACTAGCTGATGATGTTAAGTTCTCACAAAAACATTTATCTAATGATCTTAATCATCCAATAAAAAATGGAAACAATTATTGAAATAAATAGTTCAATGTATGTTAATTGCTGCAAAAAATTGCAAAATTCTGCTAAGTAGTTTTTAAGTAATTGAACAATTAAAAAGGGAATTAAAAAAGGGAGCAAACTAATTTTTTAATCAAATGTAAGAACAGAAATTGCTTAACAAACCAAAGTTATCATGAAAAAATATTATTTTTTATTTATTTGTTGCTGTAGGTTTTACTGTAGGTTTTACTAAAGTTCATTCTTGTGTTACTCATCATTCAATTAAGTCTCATCCTTTTTCAAAGTGCTCCAAAAACTCTTATTCGTCTAGTTTTTTTCCTTAAACATTAGTCCTTTGGAATTCTCTTCCTTTTTCTTGCTTCCTGAATCATATAATTTACAATATTTTAAGTCGTCTGTCAATCATTATCTCGCTCTTTAAACTTCATCTTCCAGTAACTTCCTACTCTAATAGTGGTTATTTGCAGCCAAAAAAACATAGATGCCTGCTTTATTTAATCTGAGAATTTTCTCTAATTCTATAGATAACTGAGAATAATTCTCTGTTATCTATAGAATGCAAAAGAAGAATCCTACTATTGTATTTCTTAAGTCACTTTATTAATAAGTCACATATTTATTAAGAAAAGAAGGATGTGTATAAATTTTGATATAAACAAATATAAGATATTAATTTAACGTGTTAATGGTGTAAATATTTAATTATAATTAAGATGAATTTTTTGTGTAATCTAATGTTAATAAAAAACAAATAGAAAATTAAAAACAAAGAGAAAGATTTTTTTAACCTTATAAATGATTTCATGACTATGCATTTAAGTGATTTTCAAAGTTTGAATAAGCTAGATATTTTTAAAATAATAACAATAAAGTAAAATAATAAATAAATGATATTTTTACATAAGACTATTAAAGATCTCTTTTATTTTGCTCTATTTGGTTTTCTCAAATGCTATTTACATAAAAGTTTTCAATTAAGAAATTAAAACATTAAGAAAATTAAAAGATTTAGAAATTAAAAAAATAAAATAAACATAAAAAAAAAAATTTAGAAATTAAAAAATATCCAAATTTCAAATTCAAAATGAAGCGCTATAGATAAGAACATAATCTTCGGAAATAATTTTTTTGTTATTTTGTTTGTTTCAGGTCATAAAATTGGTCCACTGTATGGGCCTAATGTAATTGATAGAATTTGTGGTGAAAAAAATGCGAAATCTATTAAAGTATCGTATCATAACAAAAATGTTTCAGATATGGTAAAGATTTGTAATGGGGAATCATTTTCACAGTATTGTGATTATCTTGATGTGGGCGTAAGTGTTTTTGTTGCTTTTTTAAAATAAAGTTTCAATTTATATATTCAATTAAGAGTTTACAACTTGAGTGGTAGATTTGAAAAATTCGAAAAATAAAAATGTAAACCCAAAAAATTTGCATATAGTTGAATATAATATATATATTATATTATACAAATCTTATATAATCACGGTTAACGGATCCAATCACCTTGTATAGTTTTACCATGATTTTAATATCACCTCTGCACAAGCCTCATATTAAGTATAATGGCAGCTCTGGCAATGGTCTCATTGATCTTAAAATTATAAATTAAAAAATAATTCGATATAGATAAAATAAAGTTTAAAATAAAACTACTTAAAATTATTATATTTAATTTTAAAGACAAGATATAATTAAAATGCAATTTCTATTAATTTCATTTCTATTAAAAAGCCTTTCAGCAGAGAAAAAATTGGTTGAGAATTCTTTTATTTGTTTTTTCATCTAATTTTAAATTATTTTGCGAACCATTGTTTTTAAACAACTTATTTGTTATTTTTATGAAATGACTTTTTCTTAAATAATGCAGCCGTAGCGCAATAATTGCAACCATGGTGCAGTGATTAGCACCTTTATTTTGTAACTTTTGCTTTAAAGATAATCGAATTTTAAGGGAATTAAAACAAAAATAGATTTATTAATATTGGTTTTTAACTTTAAAGTTAAACTGGTGCAATGTAGTACTAACGCAGTACTTACGTTGACGGACGTTGAACAATGACAAGGGTTTTGGCTTGGGCAGGTAATCTTTTAATTAAAACAAGAAGTATTTCTTAATGTTTTTTTTATCTATTGATACGTTTTTGTTCGTTTTTTGAATAAAAATTTAATTATAATTAAGTAATTTTATTTATTTTTATTATAATTGGTTAAAAAAATTAAATTGCTTTCAAAATATATGACTTAAGTTATAAATATATTTTGTTTGTGAGAGATTTCATATTAAAAATCTAACTTAAATTTTTTTTTAAACGTGCGAACAGACTACAATATAGTCTATTCACACGTGCGCGCGAACAGGCTCACCCTTAATTTTTACTGATTTATGTTTTCATTTTAATAATCGGTCCGGTACTTATTTTATCATGTCCTAAGAGATAACACGTTTTTTGATCAATATTTTTTTTTATACAATAGTTTTTTTCCCTATATTTTAGAAATATGGTAATATCACTTTCCATGGTTGTACACTTTCTGGTTCAGACAAGATAAAAAGCATGACTATACCATCAGGTAAAAAAGTTGAGTTGTGGACAGAGTATGACTATAAGGGATTTTCGTTAGGCCCGTACGCTGGGCCAGTTTCTATGCCTGTAATTGATGCTGGTGCAAGCATTGACACTTCATACGAAGTCAAGTCTATGGAAATCACTAACATCGAGCTAACTAAAGCTGTTGACTTATTGCCTACAAACTCTACGATAATTTTAGAGAAAAAAAAGACAAAAAAACATGGATACCAAAAGAAACCAACTGCAATTAACTAACTGTTTAAATATGGTTTTTTATTTTCATTTTATTTTTTTATATATAAAATATGACAAATACATTTTAATGAACCTTAATGAAATACGATATGCATAATATATTATAGATTAATATTTTATTTTCAGTACCTTGTAAGGTGTATAAACATAGAATTTTGGCCCTTGTTGAAGTTTGTTCTTTTGTGTCTCTTCGCCCTCCCCCTCCCTCCTTTCTCATTACTTTTAAATTTTAAAATAACTATTCAACTTTGATAAAATTATTCTGTCTGTCAATAAATATATATTATCAATCTTTTCAAACGGATTTCGAAATTTTATTTTTATTTAACTTCACTTCAAAGTACTTTTATATTAAGATAATGTTTACCAATACACTTTTTAAGTGAGTTTTTGACTTTATCTAAAATATTTAATTTTAGAATTATTTGATTTTTATAAATTTTATTTAACATTAGTGAAATTTTGTCACTAGAAGAAAAGCGTCTATGATGGCATAGCGCCTGTGATAGCATACCGGTCATATTTTCATAAATATTGGTTATGGCGAAAAAGTGATTAGACCAACTGACTTTACATTAGTTTTATTAAAAATACGTATGCACAAATATTGCTTTTGTAATCAACAAAAATTGATTTTAGGATGTGGTGTTGCGTTTTTAATCCCCTTAAATATTTTAGCTTGTGATTTTATTATTAACTGTGCAGAAATGAAATTTTCATGCATTTTATTTCCAAGTTTTGTGCATTTAGTCAAATTCTTATTTTAATTTTATCTTTTGAACAAGGCAGACATAACTTGATTAAATGAAAATGATGACTTCACTCTATGATGGCATACTGACGAGTTAGGTGTGTTGCAATATTAACGAGTTGAGAAAACTTTTTTTTTTCATAAAAACAACATTTGTTAGCAAAGTTTTTTTTCGAATTTTACGCATGCGCAATATCTCTTATGCGCATGCGTGAAATTCGAAAAAAAACGAAAAGGTTATTTAGGATAATTACGAGTATTTTGTGGCATTTCTGAGGGAAGACTCTAAGGTCAAATTAAATCGTCAAGTTACCCTTGATGCTAACCAGCCCCATCCTCTCCTATGCCATCATAAGAGCAGTAGTTGCCTATGATGGCATACTTGCGCTTTTTATTTTTAAATAAAAATAACTAAATAAGACTAAAGCTGATGAAAGCTGCTAGGGTTATTATTGTTCTACATGTAACAAAGAATGTATACATATCAAAACTTTTGTTCTTGGTCTTTTGGATACTGAATAATGAAGCTTCAAAGTTAAGTATGCCATCATAGGCGCCTTTCCCCTACTGGTCAAGACTTAATCTATAGTAAGGTATGCAACAGAAAATTAGACACAGAACAAATTGAAGAATTCTGTGAGTAAAAAAAGTATCTTATGAGAACGGTGATCTAATAAACAACCATAGAATAAAAAAAAAAAAAAAAAAAATGGTAAAACATACTTTAGTCTGAAATAAGACTATGAATGAAAATAAATGAAGTTCTGTGATGCTCGTATATTAATAAGAAAAACCTATATTGAATAAAAGAGTGATCCGTGAAACAGAAAAAGAACAATGAGAAAGAGAAGATGAACGTGAGTGGCCAGGATGAATTAATAATTTGCATAATAATTTATGGTATAATATAAATAAAGCGAATGATATTTTGTTTATGATTAACATTTTTGGTTATGAAAATAACCCAAAACACGTATGATCTTATCATTGTGAAACCAATAATTTTGGAACAATACATGTTTAGTAAAATGTTTTTTTTGTTGTTTTTTTAAACTCATGACTTAGTAATAAATTTTTATTTTATTTATTTTTGTCAAGCAACCATTTACAGTTAAAGGTAATTTACGATAAAATAACCAAAAATATTAAATACAAGTACATTTCATTATTTATGATAGTTACGAGACCGGAGAACCTGAAGAAGATAAAATCTTATCATCAGTAACCTTTGGTAATAAAAATTGAAAATAAAAGTGTATTGTTAGAAAAAAATGTAAAGAATTTTGATTGGTAATAACTTCGATTATGTTCTTTTTAAATTTTTGAGAGGTATTTTTTATTTTTTAAGTTTGAAATTTTTTTTTTTTTTTTTTTTTTTAAACATGTTTATTTCACAACTACGAAGTATTTACAATTGACCAATCATCGATTGGCGAATAAAGATATACAAATATAAATATCGTAAACATAAAGTCCAAAATAAATAAGAGATAAATCTAAAATATTGTTACATTCAACTTTGAGACTTGATAAAAATAAATACAAAGTACACAATAGAATAACGTGAACGTAAAAATTATCCAAGAAATAAACCTTTTATATTCTTTCAATCAGAATAAAATATATATATATATATATGTACATATATATAAAAGTATGATAAAAACAAGATTTGTATAAGAATTAAGAAAATAATTAATTGTTTGTAGTTATAGGAAGCTCGCAGAAGACTGGGATCAGTCTTGTCATCGAGTACCTTTTAGACGTGTAATACACATAAAAATCAGTTGCATACGTGGCAAATATGTATGTGATACATATATGCCTAAAAATTATTAATGTTACTAACTCCTTTTAGTATTATTTTTGTTAATTTCTTTGAAAAGTTACATTTTTTGTTTTATTAGGGTTGTTTTATATTATTTTAAATTTTTAAATTTTAAATTGGAGTTTAAAAAAACTCTTTGTAGTGGTTTAACTTGATTATTGTAGATTTTAACTTTCTTTTTAGGGACTGTTCGTTGTTTAAATTTATTAGCGATTCGTTTCTAGAAATTATTTTGTTAAATAAATAGGGACCACGATGTTTTATTGAAAACTTTGAGAGTTTAGTTTTTTCAAAGGGTATCTTAAAGTTTCCCGTTGCTCTTGTATTGTACTTGTTTACGTTGTTTTCAAAAAAGTGTGCTGTAAAATGTTCTGGAACCAGACTTAGTTTATATTTAAACATGAAAAGTATATTTTGATAAAAATTAATTTGAAAAATATTTAAAGCGTTCATTTGCTCCAGTAGGGGTTGAGCATGAGTAAGTTTGTTTTTGTTGAACACTAGTCTTGAAGCGTGCTTTTGACGCAGATAAAGCGGTTTTAATTTAGTTATGTGGGTACTGCCCCATGCTATATTGGCATACATAAGATAGCTATGTATAAATGAAAAATAAACGAGTATTAGACTTTTTTGTGTCAAGAAAGATCTTGCTTTATAAAGTAGACCTATGTTCTTTGATATTTTTGTATTTATATAGTTGATGTGGGGCTTCCAAGAGATGTGTTCATCAATTAGAACACCTAAAAACTTTGTATTTTGAGCTCTTTCAATGGATATATTTTCTATAGTAATTGTTGGTAGGTTAAGGGGAAGCTTTTTAATTTGTTGAGTAGAGTGGAATAGAATATATTTAGTTTTATATTGAGTGATAGTTTCAGGGGCGGATCTAGGATTTATTTTTCCTTTGGCGATTTTTTTTTTAATATTACCGCCCCCCACCCCCATTTTTTTGTTGATGTTATTAAGGTGCTCTAAGAAGTCCTAATGGCCTTGTCACAGAGCACCGCCACAAAGACAATAACATTTGTAACTTGGTTCTCTGTTTCTAACCTTACCGATAACGTTTATGTGCTTCGAGTAGAGATCGAACTCGCAACCCTTAGATTACGAATCCAATGCTCTAACTACTGAGCCACGATTGATATAACACAATCCATCCCAGACAGTGGTACTCTCTAATACCAAATAAGCCTCCCTTCCCCATTTACTATTTGTCAACTCTATACTAACTCGGATTTATATTTTCAAAAGGTTTTATTTGACACCAGGGGGGCTCCCCCTATGTATTCACCCCATTTGCACGATTTTGGACTCGGTGTTTGCAGCCTTTTATAAAAATAAGAACGCATTTTCAAAAACAAAAAAAATTTTTATTGCTAAACTGGTTAAGACAATATAAGTCTAAAATTCAAGCAAAAATTAACTTAAAATCGCTCCCTCCCAAACTATTGTTTTTTTTATTGTTTTTGGATTTTTTTTTATAAATATAAACTTGATTCTGGTCATTATCTTTTACATGAAACATATGCAAAATTTAATAAAAAATTATACCTATACTAGCTATTCTTAATATGGTCTATGTACTCGATGTCAACTAAAAATAAAAAAAGGAATTTGGAAATTCAAAATTAATCTGAATATTCTTGGTGATGTTCAGATTAATCTGCATAAGCTTAATCAGCCAAATATATCACAATCTGTATCGGCAACTAGCACCAGCCCTTTTTATTGATTTGCTAATTTTTATTAGCCAATTCGAAGAATACAAACCATTGAAAACAAATAGTAGATTAACTATGATTTTATTAATACATTTAAAAAAAATTTGATTTATTGAGTAATAAACAAATTCAGACAAAAAAAAAAATCTAAAGAAATCAAATTTCTGACCATTTATCTCTCACAGTACAACGGGTGAGAATGTATCTGTCTGGAAGGTATTTGTTTAAAGCACATGAACCACGTCAAGGTTCCTTCCTATTCATGTGTACGATTTTTTATGCAGAACGACTGAAGGTGTATGACAGAAAAATACACAATCAATTAGCAAACTGCTTTTCCTTGCACATTTTCATTCATTGATTAACAGGAAACTTAATCATAAAAGATAAAGAGTATTATGACAATAAAATAAAGTAGTTTTTAAACATTCATAAAGTTTTTAAAAAATATTTCATGATTTGAAATTACACTTTAAATGTTGATAAAGTCCTCCTAGTGATTGAGTAAAGTTAAAAACTGTTCTGTAATTAAGGATTAAGATAAGAAAAATTCCAGTTGTTAAAAATCACTTAAAAATTTACACAAACCGTCTAAATCACAAGCCTGAAATTGTAGTTGCAATTTTGAACAACAAAAAATAAAAATGTGCTAGTTATTTAGTAATATTGTTCAGGAGAGTTCCTTGAACAATTATACTAATAATAACAATATAACAATTTTAACAATATAACAATTTTAACAATATAAAAATTTTAACAATAAAACAATTTTAACAATATAACAATTTTTTCTAAAACAAAAATCCCCTCAGAAAGTAAACTGCTAATTTAATGAAATAAAAATTAGGATAAATAATATATTGTACTGAA